GAAACCAATTACCAAATTAACGCTGAAAACACACAAACACATGGAGGGTAAACAAACTGTTACTAAAAAGTGAATGGGTTAACAATGAGATTAAGGAGGAAATCAAAAGATACCTAGAGACAAATGAAATGAGAATATGACAACCCAAAATCTATGGGACATATGAAAGCAACCCTATATTCACAACAATATAGGCCTACATCAAGAAACAGGAAAAATCTCAAATTAACAATGTAACCTTTCACCAGGAGACATGTTTTAAATGAGTCTATTGGATTGTTTTAAAAGGGGTAACATTATCTTCATTTGACTGATTGATTGATTATGACAGTATTCTTTTTTTAATGATTAAAGTTCACCAAACATAAAGTAAACCAGTAAAAAATTCAGTAGCATTTGCCACATGCACCATGCTATGAAATGATCACCTCTATTTAGTTCCAAAACCTTTCAATCTCTCCAGAAGGAACCTCATTCCCATGAAATAGAGACTTCCCATCCCCCCTACCCAAGTCTCTGACAACCACCTGTTTGATTGATTTGTGTCTCTATGGACCCACCTTTTTGTGGACATTGTATATAAAAAGAACCACGCAATAAAATAAATATATTTTCTGCTCTGGCCTGTGGGGCTTGGTGGTTGGAGTGTTGTCCCATGCATGGAAGGGTCACGGGTTCAATTCCTAGTCAAGGCATATACACAGATTGTCATTTCATTCCCATGATTGGCCATGCAGGAGAAAGCCAATCAACGTTTCTCCTCTCATCAATGTTTCTCTTTCTCTATCTCTCCCAGTCCTTTCCTCTTTCTAAAAATCAATTCAAAACATATTTCCTCACTGAAGGATTTAACAATAATATGACTAATTTTGCATTACAAACATAAAACAATGCTAGGGAAGCCACTAGAAACTTTAAGAGTAAGTGATACACATAATTCAATTCAGAACAGGAAAATTAATTTCACAAGAGATCACTTTACCTTCAAGTCTTCATGGTCTGATGTAGGGCATGAATCAATAATGCGAGATTTGTAGTAAAATATACAACACAAATGAGTGAGTCCATTTCTTTGAAAAAACAACAAAACAATTTAAGTGAAAAATCAGCTATCTATATATCAAATAAAGATTCTTAATATAATTAACACTGGGCCTTAGTTTTTTTTTTTTTTAAAAAAACACTTTCCATTATCTATTTCTGCTGCTACCCCTCCCAACATGTGAGCTATTTAATTAAGACACACTCTGCCTGAGATTAATTTGTTTTCACCAATTAATGGCGGACATAACTTTTATTCCCTAAACTGGAACACATCTGATGACCTAAGTCAAGGTAGGAAGATACACTGTCCCTTCCTCATCATCTGTCTCTGGTCCAAAGACTAAAGGATGTCAGTCAAAAATGGCAGTCTTGCTCCTTTAGCATGGAAACCACCTATTAAGGAGAACCCATTCCTTCCTTTTACCTTAAAACTATACAGGAAGTTCCTGAAATGGTTAAATGTTATATATCCAAATGTCAAAAAACAAATGCTTATGTTGCTAGCCTTCCCACTCCCAGATCACCCTTCTGCAGGCTCCAGAACATTGACATCTTCAGCTTATGAGGGCACAGACTCCTGAAACAAGGGTGGGAGCCCAGCGTGTGGCTGAGACCACATGCTCCTCAGGGGGACCATTGCCCTGAGACATGCCTCTGCATTCTCAGCCACCACAAGTGGATGTGGGGCCAGCCCTTTTGGAAACTCTGTCCTTCCTGCCAGTGTAGCTGAGGCTTCTTCTGTAGATCTTGGGTATAAGACTAATGTTCAGCTAGTCTTCAGGTTGGTAGTTATATAATTTAGTTGTCGTTCCAATTTGGCCCAGGGAGGAGGTGAGTGTGACTTTCACCTCTTTTGCCTCCATCTTGGAGCACCCCTAACAAATTCTGCACTTTAGGGGCTCACTGTTAGGATATGGTGAGGTGAAATATTTTAAGTGAGGAAGGAAGCATCTGTAATGTTAAAATTCAGCTAGTAATTTAATTTTGATAGATTTAGCATCTAATAAATTGTATAATTCCAATAGTGCCAAAATTAGGTGTGAGGGTTCATATTTTTATTTTTATTTAGACCAACGCAAGTTATTATTATTCCTTACTTCTCAGTTTCAATCCTGTGATTGGAAGTAACTAATCATAAATTAAGAATCCTAACAGTTAAATTTTAATTATATTCTAACTTATCTTTGTCCATACTTGATTACTCAAGGATAAATTATTTCAAAAACATATACCCCAACAGCAAAGACATCTGAAAATAAAGCAAGCATATTCATCTTCCACCTTTGCATCTAGAAAAAATGTCTCAAGAATTACAAATAAATAGGGCATGTGACAAAGAGGACACATCTGCATATTCAGGACACCGTTCTGTGCAAAAGGATGAGGAAATGTGCGTCAAACAAGGCACATTAGAGCAGAGGAAGAACTTACTACTTTCGGAAGATGAGTCAAAGCAGAGGTCACATGAATTTTCTGTAAAATTCAAAATGACTGAGTGCCCTGAGGAAGAGCCACTACGTGATAACTCTAAAGAAGGAGCAAGCTTAAGACAAATGCCTTCTAATTTGACAGGTAAAATGCTTGATTGTGAAGGAAAGATGCATTTGGAATGTCTGTCTCTGCAGCATTACAAACATTTCCTGAAGGAGAAGAAACCTCTCTCAAAATTGTTTCTCCATCTCAAGCAGACCCTCGGTCCCTAGTAGACCCTCCCTGGTCATCTTCTGAAAATGATCACAATGCCCTGAGAACCAGAGCCTGGAAGAGGAGCTCACAGGACATCTGGCTGTGAAAATCAGCAGGGCTTCTGCCCTGCCGGAAGAGGTGGGAGTCTGCTAGGAACCCAGGAGCCCTCTTAAAGTTCCGGTACACAAGGTCCCACCACTCACCCTGGGGCCTATGAAGAAAGGGTGGCTCAGAGTGCACTGGGAGTCATGTGAAGAGAGACTGCTTTGTGTGGCTTTGGGAGAGAGCTGAGGGGATGGCCTCTGGGTGCCCTCCCTGTGCTGAGTCCCTCTCCCAGATGCCATCACCCCTGGGTCAAGCCCTCCCTTCCTTATAGCCTCAGCCTGGGGAACGTACATCCTGAATCCTTGTCCCCGACCCTGTAAAGCTATACAGTACAAAGGAGCCAGCTGCCTGGGCCCATGGTGTAGACTTTCATGGAGGTCTCTTAAGGAGGTCGGGATGGACTCAGGGGGTATCAGAGATTGAGTCGTGTGACTTTGGGTTGGGGCTTTTATTCCCTTGCTGGTCTAACTGAGGCCACCATTCAATTCTGCTGGCCTTACCCTAATGACTCCCTGAGGCCCATCAAACACAAAGGTCCACAGATACCTGGTGGGTGATAACTCCCTGAGGCCCATCAAACACAAAGGTCCACAGATACCTGGTGGGTGATAACTGGCATTTGTGTACCAACATGGTAAACACCACTGGCACCTACCTGATGACTCACTTACCTCATGCAACTCACATACCATGGTAAACACCACTGGCACCTACCTGATGACTCACTTACCTCATGCAACTCACATACCAACAGGAGCTCTTTCAGAGACTGGCCCCAACAGAAAGCTGGTAGGTGGAGGTGGATCTCGGAGTGACTTGGGCTTTTTTGCTCAGCTGCCCCATGGGCTTGGTGCTGGTAGAAGGAGGCATTGCTCTGCAGCTTGGCCCCTTCCAGGTGCACCCAGGCCCAGCAGAGGCAGTCACAAGCTGGATCGCTTTGTTGTTCCACACAGGTAGCCCAGGGGAAATCACAGGCAGAGGCTGACATTGACTTGCAAGAGAGTCCCTCCCAAGAGGCCCCAGAACCAACACACTCAGTGGGGGGCTTCAGAGCATGACCCAGTTAGCTCCACAAGCAGAAACCCAAACAGAAATCTGGGCAGGCACCACACCGAGCTGGCATGAATTACTTCACATGGGGTCAGTCTTTGAACAGCAGCTTGTATACTGTGTGTAGCAGCATGAGGATCAACCCCAATTAGCTGATGTGCTTCCCATGTACCCAGAGAGTTGAGCAGGGGAAGGACTAGATGTCACATCAGTAATGGAGTTGGGTAACACACCTATGTAATGAGTGGATCACTCCGACACCATTTAGTTTGTTTTCCAGGGAAATAGCTCCTATTTTTTTTTTTTCCATTTGAGCCCACCCTAGGACTCTAGGACCTAAGTCCCACTCTGTGAGTCAGAGTTCAGGTTGATGCGACCACAGTCCTATTTGTGATCAAAAGAATCTTTCCAGTGGCTCCAATGTTTTAAATATCTTTGTAAAGAAAACTTGAATGGTTCTATTTCCTTCTATTAAACAAAGAAATAGAAGAGTAGCAATCTCTTCAGGACTTCCTTGAGCCTCATGTTTTAATCTGCCTTTCTAGAGAACTCCCAACATCCTATGGCCTTCCTTATTAAAACTTACCTTTAATTTGTCACAAACACCAATATTCTCATCTTCAATCCCAACCTAGTGTTGTTCCTCTTGAAACTTGGGATTCTCCTGCTAATTCCATTTTTACCCCCTATTGACTGTGTTCACTACCACTCCCCATATTTCTATTATGAAACTTTCCTACAGATTTGATAAAGAAGGTAGTGTATTACACTTAGCAACCTGAATTTATGTCAGTTTCACCACCTTATATATCCCAATGAGTCACTTTAATCTCTTTTCATTTCCAGTATTCTATGCCAACAATTAGTTAGCCATGATATTAAACACAGGTTGAATAGCTAGAGGCAGTTTTGTTTAATTAATTACGAGGCTTCCTTAAACTACTGAAATTCTATGTGCCTTTGATTCTGTCTATAGAAAAATGGAGAACACCATAGCTGGCAGCATTGGGGGAAAAAACACAATGAAAGAAACACTAAAAAAAGCAGAGAATAAAATAAAATAAATCAAAAATTCATGGAAGAGGAAAAAATACCATAGGATCAAGGAAAATACCTCATACAACTAGGCAAAGGTCGTAGCCTAAAGAGAAAACCAGGCTGGGAAGTCAGTAAATAGAGGAATTAATTAGAAATATCCTCTAAATACACGCTGAATTTAATTAATATAACATGAACTATACATAGATATTCTTTACTTACAGGTAAGTACAGTGGGGCCTTGACTTACGGGTGTCCCAACTAACGAGTTTTTCGAGATATGAGCCATCTCTCGGTCCATCTTTTGCTTTTAGTTGCAAGCTAAAATTCGGGTTACGAACCAGCTTCAGATACCCCACCACTAGTTGGTGCAGCAAATGTCACAGTGAACGCCACAACATCAGCCCAGCATCACGTGTCTCACTCGTTCACAATTGATTTGACATACTAGTAATTTGAGTTATGAGCTCCGTCACGGAACGAATTAAACTCGTAAGTCAAGGCCCCACTGTAATTCATTCCAAGAAAAATAGATATCATTTTACCTAACAACGCTTGACTGATGAGGCCTTGCTTAGGTACAACCTTTGGTTCTGTGGCCATAGCTAACTGAGAAGGGCCCTAAAAGCTTTGGTAGGAAGAGCAAGGTCCTATTTACCACTACAATTGTCAAGGAGAGTAAGATAAATGCTTAGATTAATTAAGCCTCTTAGGAAATCTCTAAATCAGAGTTAACACACAATCAGACTTCACTTTCTGAGTCGGTCTGATTCACATTTATATCTCAATGCCAGCGCTATATACGAACTTATCAGTGTATGCTGAGGGACAACAGAATAGACTAGGAAGTCAAACAGGTTGACAGTCAAATCATGGGTTGGCCACTTGCTAACTATAGAATCATGGGTCAATTCATCCACCTCCCTGAATTATAGTTGCCTCATTAATAAAAAGTAGGCTACAATACACAGCTACATTGACAGCTATTGTGATGATTATATAACACAGGTTATATATAATATAGGGTCGAGCACATAGTAGAACACTCTAGAACTTTTAGTTTCTTTTCTCTGCTTTCCCTTAGGTAACTTATAGTTTTTAAAAACCCATAAAATCCTACCTGCATAAAGCGTCTTCTTCAGAGAGCTCATGCACTATTAAGGAAAAAAGTAAAATACATTTCATTTTAAAACAACAATAGAAAAATACAAGACACTAAAAGTATCAGAGTAATGCTTTGTTATAAAGTATTCCTTTAGGACCACACACAAAGATTATACCAGAGGGACTATTAATTATATTATTAGCAGGCCATTAACAACACTTACTTTCTCCTTTTAAATATATCAAATCCAAGAATAAAAGAGAATGGGCTCTTTCAAAATTTGATACCTACCTATCAACTGCTATCTACAATGAACATAATCCCAACCAAATCCCATAAGGCTGACAGAAAATAGCAACATTAGTAGAAGCAGAATCCTATATAATAAAAACCTAATATGTTAACTGTCTGGTAGTCTGGTCAACTGTTCAACCAATCAAAGCATAATATGCTAATGATATGCTAATGCAGCTCAACTGCTCGCTATGACCTTCACTGACCACCAGGGGGCAGACACTCTAACCAATAGGTAGCCTGCTCCAGGTGCCTATTAGGAATGAGTGAGATGGGCCAGACACACCCTGGAGCCCTCCCGAGGTCCCTCCCAGCCCTGATTATGTACTGGTGGGGTCTCTTGGCCTGGCCTCACCCTCTCATAATCTGGGACCCCTTGGGGGATGTTGGAGAGGCAGTTTCGACCCAATCCTGCAGGCCACTCCACTCAGGAGGGCACCAGATTCAGGGCTCAGGGATGGCAAGTACGAGCCTCTCTGGATAGGGACTAACTGGGCAGTGGGGCAGTATGAGCAGGGGTGGCAGGTAAGAGCTACAGGCAGAGTTGGACTGTGGGTTTCAGCCCGATCCCCACAGGCCACCCAAAGGGACTCCTCCTGTGCATGAATATGTGCACGGGGCCTCTAGTCATAGAATAACAATGTCAAACTTAAATAGCATTAGTTTTCTGGACTCCTTCCCTTAGGAGCAGTTACATTATTTTGCGTAGCACAGTATGACTTCTCCAGCTCTTCAGTGAATACAGCCAGTTTAGGATGGAACACTCCATCAAAAGGAAGCTTGGTCACTAGACACTACACTTTCCAGCACAGCAAAACATAGGAAGCAGACTCTTTCTGGCCCCATTTCCAATCTATAATAATAAAAGTGTATTATGCTAATTAGACTGGACATCCAGACGTACTTCCAGATGACCTTCCGGATGAAGCCATGGCAGCAGTGGCCGAGGCAGAGACTGCTGTTGTGGCGGGCGGGGGCCGAGGCAGCCTCCAAAACGGCGGGTGCCGGATCCATTGCACCAATTTCATGCATCGAGACTCTAGTTGCAAGGTAAGTAGGAGAGACTTTGTGAGTCCAATTTGATAAAGTAGAACCCATGAGACTATTTCCTTCCATTGCTACAGTGTATCTGTCCTAGCTCATAGAGCAGGGTGGTCCAGACAGTCAGTGCTCTGCAGTAGAGCGTGAGGTCATTTTTCTCAACCCTCAACATTAGGTGGCAAATGACTACAGAAATCATTCTCTTTCAGCTTGTACCGCAAATGTCATCATAGCCTATGATGATGAACAACAACAACAAACCACAAAGTTCAAAGAACATCTTGGATAACTACATCCAATTACCTTAGCATTTTAATTTTTTAAACACTCAAAAAGATACCCACTGCATAATTCCTGCTATACAACACTCAGGAAAATACAAAACTATGGAGACAGTAAAAAAAAAAAAGTTCAGTGGTTTCCAAGGGTTAGGGAGAAGGTAGGAATGAATAAGCAGAGCAGGGAGAATTTTTAGGATAATGAAACAATTCTATACGATACTCTTGATGGTGGATATGTGTCATCATACATTTGTCAAAACCCATAGAATGTACAACACCAAGAGTGAATCTTCAGGTAAACTATGGGCTTTCGTTGATAATGATGTGTCAATGCGCGTCCATCTGTTGTAATAAATGTACCTCTCTGGTGCAGGAAGTCAAAAATGAGCAAGGCTGGGTGTGTAGAGGCTGTGGGGTTGATGGGAACTCTGTACATTCAGCTCAATGTTGCTGTGCATCTAAAACAGCTCAAAAAATAAGGCTTATTAATTTTTCTTTAAAAAATGTATCCGCTGAATCTGCTATTACTATATATCAACATATTAATGCTATTTTCAAGACACAGTCACCTTAGAAATTAACATAAAGATCAGAATATGGGTATTATCCCAAATTGAGTGAAGCATATGGAAAGACATAAATAAAGCCAATAATCTTAATTGTAAACTAGGACAAGAAAATAATTGGAAAGTATACCAATCTTACTTGGTTATAAATGGGGATTTAGTGCAACACAAATAAAAAGTGATTTTTTATTTGTAATTAAAAGACACTTTTTATTCTAATTTTAAATCAGAAATAATTATGCTGATTTATCTAAAAATTATCTGAAACGGTAATTTGATAAAAAGAAACGTTTATCATTCCCTAATATTGCACTAGTAACTTACGTACAAATACCTGTTAAATACTCACCGAGAGTCACAAATGTAATCAGCATTGCAGGCAATTATGGATGATGCGACTGAAACTAATACCATGTTATATTACTTGCTTTTAAAATAAAATTGTAGGTGAGAGCCAAAGATTCAGTCAGGGCTATACCTGCTGTGCAGAAACATTTCATGCAGCAGGCTCAAGTCTGCTCTCCTTAGAAAGTCCTACTTAAACGCATAGCCTTCAGTTGGTGTCTGAAAATCTGAATCCGAGCAGGGTTTTCACATCTTCCAAACTGATAATAGAGGCTCCCTGTGCCTAAACATTTTGTACAACCAATGGTGTTCACGTTGAACACTGGCTTTCCTTTTGGAAATCTGGAATTTTGGTACATTCTATGGGAAGATGCCTATGTGGTTAGCATGACATAAAAACCTTGGCACTGAGTCTAACCGGACTGGTAGATGACATAGTTCACGTGTGTTGTCAGAATTTGACCCTGGAGTAATGAAGACCTCCTGGTAACTCCGCAGGGAGAGGACTCTTGGAAGCTTGTGCCTGGTTTCCTCCACCCTTTGTCACAGGCAAACCTTTTCTCTTTGCTGGTTTTACTTTGGTCTTTCCCTGTAATAAATCTCAGGTATGAGCACAACTATATGCTGAGTCCTATAAATCTCTCTAGTGAATAAGCAAACTTAGGTGTGGGTTTAGGATCTTTAACAAAATTGCATTATGTGAAGTTGTTATTATTTGATTTGAGGTGTTATACATAATTACAGTCAGAAGCTGATTGCACAGAATACCTGTCTTTGATTTTGTTTTGCTCAGTGCTTGTTTTGGAGATTCCTGTAGATCTGCAGCTATTGGAAGAAAGGCATAGAAAGGGATAAATAAAACAATGATGTCAGAAAACAATGTGAAACAAGCAACAACCCTATTTCCTCAGAATAGAAAATACAGAGCCCTAATGATTGGCAACATGTTCTATAACATGGAAGTTCCACTCAAGAAAAGGAAAACATCACACTGACAATTTTCTTCAACTAAGCAGGGCTTAATCCCTTTTCAGAATAGTTATGAATCAATCAAGCAACTGTGATAACTACAGAAAAACAATAATTATCATATTAGTATAATAGTATCCGTGTGCTTACAGAATTCTTCCCTAACTTGTTGCTAATTTATAATAAAACTAAAATCATGGTTCACCTGTTTAAGGCAGTTATTGGCAGGCCAAGTCAAAGTCAAAGAAATTATATCTAAAATGTAGGGATATCCATGGATATTCCATCAAACTCAACATGTATGGAAACTTACTGCTCTTTCCAGTTGAACTGTTGCCCTTTCTTGCTCATATGAAAAAGTCCTAGTCTTCATGTCCGACCTAAATGCCAGTGCACTACCTGGGAACCTATCAGTCACCTTAGATTTCTTTCTCCTCGCCACTTTTTGCATGCAATCACCAGGAAATCATATGAACTTAGCCTCCTACTGTCTCCACTTATTTTGCTACTGTCAACTGCCCTAGTCAAATATGGGCTCTTAAGAAATGGCTTTCATAGGGAGGGAAATACCACCAACTATTATTGTTCCATATTAAATTAATAAGATTTTTTTAAGCAGAAAAAGTGAGAAAGACATAGACCTAGAAAAAAACCAACATTTCAAATGGAGTAAATATAGCTTCCTGACTCATTTCTGTATGAATGGGTGAAAACTTCATAATGGACTGATGCTAGTCCAAGGAGGCAAAAGCTTCCCTTGTCTCCATGTTTCTTTATGTGGTTTCCTTTTTTGTACCCACTACATGAGGGGTCAGTCAGCAAAGGAGGGCCCACAGGCCAAATACAAGCTGCCATCTGGTTTTACAAATAAAATCTCACTGGAACGCAGCCATGCCTGTTCACTTACAGATTCTCTAGGACTGCCCTCACACCACAATGGCAGACTTGAGTAGATATGGCAGACCACATGGCCTAAAATCAGGCCCTTTACAGAAAAAGCCTGCTGATCCCTCCGTCCTATCACAACCAGAGGGCCATAATCAAATCTCATCTTGTTCCTCTTCCGCTCAAAACTCCCATGAATCCCTGCAGTAAACACTGCTGGCTCCCTACGTCAGTCTTCATTCTTGCTGGACAACCACAACTGTATTTGGACATTTACTGTCCTGATACACAAAGAAGGTGGTGTCTCCCCAGCTCCAAAAAGGGAAATGATTATACTATGCTCATCACAGTACCTAGTTTACCAATAACTGGTTTAGGAATAAGCATGTGATGTAACTCAGGCCTATAAAACTTTACTCTAAAGTGGTTCTCAACCTGTGGGTCGAGACCCCTTTGGGGTCGAACAACCCTTTCACAAGGGTTGCCTTAGACCATCGGAAAACACAAATATAATTATATATTGTTTTTGTGATTAATCACTATGGTTTAATTATGTTCAATTTGTAACAATGAAAATACATCCTGCATATCATATATTTACATTATGATTCATAACAGTAGCGAAATTGCAGTTATGAAGTAGCAACAAAAATAATTTTATGGTTGGGGGTCACCACAACATGAGGAACTATATTAAAGGGTCGCGGCATTAGGAAGGTTGAGAACCACTGCTAGAGGAAGTCAACTGAAAGTCTGTCCATTTTCTCCCTAATTATAGGAAACACATAGGCCAGGCCAGTGTGGTTCAGAGGCTTGAGCATTGTCCCATGCACCAAGAGGTCGCTGGTTCTATTCCCACTCAGGCCACATGGGTTTCAGGTTTGATACTCAGAAGGGGTGGGCAGTAGGCATCAGATCAATGTGATGGTTCTCATTGCTATTTCCATCTCTCTCTCCCTTTCCTATCCTCTCTCACTAAATATCAATAAAACCATATTTTTTTGATGTGTAAATTAATTTCTCAAAACATTTTAATCACATAAAGAGTTCAATTACATTTCAATCTTGGTTATTATTCTTTTTTTTAAATTTGTTTTATTGCTTAAAGTATTACAAAGAGTATTACATATGTCTCCTTTTTCCCCCCTTAACTTTCCCCCAGCCTCCCCTACCCCCCAGTGTCTTGTGTACATTGGTTATGCTTATATGCATGCATACAAGTCCTTCGGTTGATCTCTTACCCCTCCCCCTCCAACCCTCCCCAGTCTTCCTGCTGTAGTTTGACAGTCTGTTCGTTTTTTTTTTAAGTTAAAGAAAGCATTTATCTCAACATCACTAACCAAGGATATGCAGATGAAAGCCTTAATGAAGTACCAGCTCACTCCTCTCAAAATGGCTGTCATCAAAATATAAATAACTAACAAGTTTTGGTGAGAATATGGAGAAAAGAGAAAGCCTCGTGCACTGTTCAAGTGATTGTAAATTGGTACAGTCACTATGGAAAGCAGCATGGACACTCCTCAAAAAATTGAAAATAGAACTGCCATTCCACTTCGGGATATGTATCCAACAGAAACATGAACACGAATTTGAAAAGATACTCACACCCATATTCACTGCAGCAAGATTTACAATAGCCAGGATATGGAAGCAGCATAGATGTTCTTCCATAGATAAATGAATAAAGAAGGTGCAGTATACACCTTGGTTCAAAGGTGTATATATATATATACACCTTGGTTCAAAGGTGTGTGTATATATATATATATATATATATATATATATATATATATATGATTATATATGTGTGTATATACATGTATACTCAGACATAAAAAAGAATGAAATCTTGCCATTTAGGACCACATGCATGGACCAAAAGGGTGTTATGCTAAGTGAAATAAGATAAAGAAAGACAAACACTGTTTGATCTCACTTACCTGTGCAATCTAAAACAACAAAACAAACAAAACAGAAACACACCCTGTAGCTACAGAGAACAAACTGATGGTTGCCAGAGGATAGTTGAGGAGAGGGATGAAATAAAGAATATGAATAAGAAGTGAAAACTTCCAGTTATAAAATATGTAAGCCACTGGGATCTAGTGCACAGCACAGAGAATGTGTTAATTATTGTAATAACTTTGCTCGGTGACAGATGGTTACTAGACTTTTCATTGTGAACCCATCATAAGATATGTGAACGTCAAACCACTATGTCATACACCTGAAAGTAATATATTGTGTGCCGAGTAGACTTTAAAAAAATTTAAAAATGAACAAAGCAGTGCTTTGGCCTTCACATATTGCCATATGAGAATAGGTTGCTTTGGAGCCATAGCCAATTACTGACCAGGAAAGCAGACATAAACACTGACAACCTCACAGCTGAATAAGGGACAACACCTGGGATCCTTATGTCATCACTGAGCCACCAAAACAATCCTGGTTCCTATTGTTTCAGCCTCTTAATTAGGCCACCTATTATCTGAAGCTAACAGCATTCTATCTGTTAAGTTCTCAAGATCTACAAGATAAGATCTAGTCCTTTCTGTAGTACTAACGGCTTTCATAAGGCTGCCTTAGCTAAGCACTCACCTCAGTCCCAACCTTTCCCGTAGTGCACATTTTCACATTGAAAAGGTACTGCTCGTGAATCCCATAAACTTCACGTGTACATCTTAGCTCTTGCCCTGCTGTTCCTGCTGCCTAACGTGTAATCGCAATACCTGTTCCCCCTGCCAAACATAACCCTTCTGCCCCTTTACCTGGCAAACTTCTCCTCCATCTGCATGCTTACTTTAAATCCCACCCACATTTTAATTTTTTTAATTTTTATAGTGTGTGTGTGTGAATTTTAGAGGACATTTATTAAAGTTGGGGATCGTGAAACAAGAAAGGGATGGGGAAGTGAGCCTAGGCTCACTAAGTAGTCAGACAAAAGAGGGTCTTGGGGACAGGTTTAGAGGGTTTGCCCGGGATAAATTGCCACTGACCACTGTTGCTCTGGTTGTAAGCCTCCTGGGGTCCCTCAGAGTTTGGGAGATGCATCCCTGTGGGAAAATAAAGGGAGGAAGGCCTGGGGTGCAAGCACACCTTTATTTTTATTTGATTTTTAACTACTTAAAAACATTGATTAGAGAGAGAAAAGGAGAGAACTTTGACTTACTGTTCCACTTATTTATGCATTCATTGGTTGGTTCTGGTATGTACCATGCCCAGGGATGAAACCCACAACTTTGGCATATTGGTAACAATGCTTTAAGGACTGACCTACAGGGCCAAGGCCTCACCCACATTTTTAAAACTCTAATTCTCATCATGGACTTAAAGTGACTGGCACATACTACACATCAATAAAAAAAAAGATAATTATAAAGTCCTAGTGCATTCTACCACCTGGTAAGCACTGAATAAAGTATAGTAAGTAATAGGAATGACAATGACATTAACAAATTCTTAGAGGGCAGGGACTGTGTTTTTAAAATATTTCAATTCTGCAACATAAGAATGTCATTCAGTACCTAAAAGGCACCTGAGAGTTAAATAGTAGACCAGTAAGTAAATTAATAATTAAATTTTGAAAAAAAATGGAAAATCCTGCTGAAAAAAAACACACAAAAAAACCAGAAATAAACCAGGGACGGAGCTCTCATATTATGAGAAACTTCAGGGTCAAAACACCATTTCATCCTTGCATTTCCTAAAAGTTGCAAAACCGGCCTACACAAGTCCTCTGATGAAGGTCTACCAAGTCCAAGGTGTCCTCATACATTTCCGATTGCACAATGAACTAGGAGCCACATCTGGGTAGCAATATGGAATTTTTGTCATTGTGAAACACTTTTGTACTTTTATTGTAATTTGTAGAGTCCTGAATTGGGTTATTTGAATACTTATTATGATTACTTTCTGATCAATGGTAACCGAGCATCTTGTTCTAAGAAATGACAATGTCCTGACAATTATCCAACAAACAGAAGGAAACATCTTGTTCTACTGAATCATCATATCTCATTCTGTTTTGACCTCTGAGGAATAAAGGTGATAACAGTGAGATCGTGTTGGCATTATATATGAAATACTCCATGATTCTCCACAGGTTTGGCCTTTCTGACTTCTGTGCTGTTGGTAGGTATCTTTGAAAAATAACCTCCTTGGGCCCTGCCAGCACAGCTCAGTGGTTGATCATTGACCTATGAAACTGGAGATCAAAGTTCGATTCACGGTCAGGGCACAGGCCCCCTTTGCAGGCTCGATCCCCAGTGTGGGGTGTGCAGGAGGCAGCTGATCAATGATTCTCTCTCATCATTGATGTTCCTATGCCTCTTCCTTGTCCTTCCTCTCTGAAATCAAGAAAAACAATCTCATTGAGATTGTCGCACACTAACTAAGTGCTGTAGTTCCTATTGTTTGCCATTTGTTTGTGGTACCAGGAAAGTATTGTTGAGTTCCCAGTTTTGGTGACTTTTTTAGTGAGACAAATCACTACGAAAAAACAGGTTTTCATTTACTCAATGTAATCTACTGGCTGTAAAAACTAAACAAAAGATTCATTTTTAAAACAAGTCCAATTAGTTACAAAGGGAATATAGAGGAAACATACAACAATGTAACTTAAAGTCATTTTTCTTTTTTACATAAAGATATCATATAGAATTTTAGGGTTAAGGACTAAATAAATGAACCTCTTTTCAAACACTGTTGCCCCAGGTTTTAAAATTACCTATAGCCGAAACCGGTTTGGCTCAGTGGATAGAGTGTCGGCCTGCGGACTGAAGGGTCCCATGTTCGATTCCGGTCAAGGGCATGTACCTGAGTTGCAGGCACATCCCCAGTAGGAGATGTGCAGGAGGCAGCTGATTGATGTTTCTCTCTCATCGATGTTTCTAACTCTCTGTCTCTCTCTCTTCCTCTCTGTAAAAAATCAATAAAATATATTAAAAAAAAAAGAATAGTTTAGCTCAGTGGTTGCCAACCTTTCAGACTTCACGGACCACCGTGGTCCGTGGAACACCAGTTGGCGACCACTGGTTAAAAAAATTAAAAAAAAAATTACCTATAATTAACTGTTTTAATAATACTGAATACTATTCTATTAAGGAAGAGATTAAGAAAAACTATACATGCAACTTACACATTTGTGGGTTTTCTTTTATTGCTCTTTCATTAGCAAAACTTACTCTTAATTCACCCATGGTAGGACCACCAAGAGTAATTCACTATCAGAAGTCTTACCAAGATTGCTACCATCAGAAGATCTTATAGGTCTTTCTTCTTTATATTTCGAAGGTAGTTGTTGTTCGCTATCAATAAAAAAGGTTATAAATAATATTACTCTGTCAATACAAACATAAAAATATTTCCCTAATATTGTAAATTCTTAGAATATTTCAGATAACATCAGAGTCAATATTAAAACTTTAATTCTACTATACACTTCAAACTTGTAAGTTCTACAAACTTCTTATGAAGCATGTAATTTTTTTTTTTTTAAAAAAAGCATGAAACAGTCATGATTTGAGGGTAATATATTTGGTGAATTAACTAGAGTTAACTTGACATAATGGCAAGTCTCTTGAACTCAGACATCCCTGTTTTATAACCAACAGCTACTTTTTGTCAAGCAAGTCACTTTTCTATGGCTCAAGGTCCTCCTCTACAAAATAAGAGTTTTACTACCTTACTTTTGAAGGTTGTTTGAATAATTAAACGAAATAAGACAGCAAAAAGAGATGCTTGGAGAAACAGCAAGGCAAAGGAAAACTCTCATCATGAGCTTTATTTTTTGAAACTAATTTAGAATCCCAATGGAATCCCAATGTGGGTTTTTCATAGTTTCTAACATTCAAATGTTGCAGTTCTCAGAAAATATTAACTAGAGACCCGGTGTACGAAATTCGTGCACTCGGGGCAGAGCGGTCCCTCAGCCTGGCCTGTGCCCTCTCGCAGTCCAGGAGCCCCCGGGGGATGTCCAACTGCTGGCTTAGGCTTGCCCTCAAGCCAGCAGTCGGACATCGTTAGTGCTGCAGTGGAGGTGGTAGAGCAGTGGTTCCCAAACTTATTTGGTCTACCGCCCCCTTTCCAGAAAAAATATTACTCAGCCCCTGGAAATTAATTTTTTTAAAATTTTAATAGCAGTTACTCATTGCCCCCAAATGCACCTGTGGCCATCACCGTCCCCCTGGATTGCTGCAGCGCCCACCGGGGGGCAGTAGTGCCCACTTTGGGAATCACTGTGGTAGAGGCTCCCACCACTGCCACTGTGCTTGCTACTCATGAGGCCATCTCAGGGCTTCTGGCTGAGTGACACTGCCCCTGTGGGAGTGCAATGACTACCAGGGGGAAGCTCCTGTGTTAAGTTTCTGCCCACTGGTGGTCAGTGTGTGTCATAGCAATCGGTCATTCTGCCATTTGGTTGACTTGCCTATTAGCATTTTATTACATAGGATGGAACTACTTGACAGTCAATGTGCCCCACTGAGGGGTCCTGGATTGAGGGAGGGCACAGGCCAGGCAGAGGGACTCCACTGGTGCACAATTGGAGCCGGGGAGGGAAGCAGGAGTTTGGCCAGCCAGGGAGGGACCACAGGAGAGCTCCAGGGCATGTCTGGCCAGTCTCACTCAGTCCCAATTGGCTGGACCCCAGCAGCAAGCTAACCTACCAGTTGGAGCATCTGCCCTCTGGTGGTCAGTGCACATCATAGCGAACAGTTGAGCAGCCTTAGCATATCATTAACACATTATGCTTTTATTGGTTGAACGGATGACAGACAACCAGACACTTAGGATATTAGGTTTTTATTATATAGGATTTTGGTTATTACCTATTCTTTCTTTGTGGTTTGTAATTCAGGGTTTTTTAGCTACTATATAACTTGCAACTAAATGTATGTATAAATACATTACCTCATGAAGTCAGATAACACAATGTTCCCTTATTTTTGTTGTGAATCATGCCGACTGCAGAAAACTAATAGAAGTCAGGACGTGGCCTGGACCACTACTATCCCTTCCCTATCTACTCGCACTGTGAACCAGCAGATCTTTATGAGAATGATGCTTAATATCTCTGTCCACACCCAATTGGCTTGGATGACAGAATCCTACCTGTCACTAATGGATACTGATGAGTCATGATGAGGCCTTAGCAATTGTAAGGACCAATAACCTACTCTTGAATCAGAGAGTTCTAACTGGCTTCCATGCGAGGCATAATTTAAAATATTTTGAAACCTGAGGTAAATTAAACTCACTTGGGAATGTTTCATTCTTATGGCAAAGAGATCCTTTGAGGGGCCAACCTCAATTATGGAGTCTCAGGCAGGCTGCTGCCTACTTCTCTGGGAAAGGCAACATGGGACCTTCCATTACCTAAACAAAGATGTTCTAGTGTCCTTGGGGGGCAGATCTGGTAACAAAGGAGAAAGTCTGGTCTTTTCCTGCAGCTTTATTTCAGTCTCTCTGACAGCTTAGAATAGTTCCAACTAAGCCCTTCATTGTTTCACTGGCCCCAGCTTTAATAAATGTACCCTCCAAATATAAAACAAGGAATGAACAATTGTACCTTTCCATGTGATTGATTTTTGAAGCTCTAGTTACTAAAAATTCCACCATTTTCTCTCTGTTTTCATATTTAGCAAGTGAAAGTGGTGTGAAGTCATCCTGTATAAACAGAAAAACAGTTTATAATTTATTAAATTATATATATATATATATACATATATACAAACTGCACATTAAAACTTACAAAAGATCCACTGAACTTACACATATAATATAGAATGTAAATAAAAAGTAGCCCCTTTTGCCCTGGCTAGTGTTCTCACTGGTTAGAGCATTGGCCTGCTCATGGAAGGGTCCAGGTTTGATTCCCATTCAAGAGGTTGTACCTGGGTTGCAGATTTGGTCCCTTGCCCTGGTCTGGGTCTATGCAGGAGGCACCCACACATTAATGTTTCTCTCTCTCACCCCGCAATCCTTCGCTCCCTTCCACTTTCTCTAAAATCAATGGAGGATGGGAAATACTCTGGTGAGGAGGAAAAAATAAAATAAAAGGAGCCCCTATCTTCTCACCCCTGTGCAGTCACTGGCTGTTCTTCCCTTTAAAATGTCCTCCACTGCCTCTTCAACAGATTAACTGCAGCATCCTTCTCCAACTCTCACTTCCAACATTTACAGTACGGGTTCCCAGAATCTGTGTTCCTATCGTGGTGTCCTGTTGTTATTTTGTTGCCTGTGGACTGGGGCTTCCTCTTCCCTCTTGCACTCCCCCAGCTCCCCTTGCTGGGGACTAGGCCTCCTCCTCCCACCCATCCCCAGCAGCACCATTTCCTAAGCCCCTGCCAGCACAGCAGCCAGGCCCCAGCATCACTTCACTCCCCCAGGCCTTCAGCCTTAGTGGGCTCTGAGCCCATCTCCCACTCCCAGGCACTAACAGGAAGTTCTTCCTTCTGGGGTGGAAGGGTAGCTGGGAGGCAGAGCTTTGCCCCCTACCATGGACACTACATTTCTCCAGCCCTCCCTGCCTGGGCTTTGGAGTGTTTCCATGGTGATAGGGCCTGATCTATTATATTCAGTGTATGTATGTGAGAAAGAAAATCTTTGTGTGAAAGGAAGGAAGGAAGGAAGGAAAGAAGGAAGGAAGGAAGGAGAAAGAAAGAAAGAAAGAAAGAAAGAAAGAAAGAAAGAAAGAAAGAAAGAAAGAAAGAAAGTCCGGAAGGAAGGAAGGAAGGAAGGAAGGGAGGAAGGAAGGAAGGAAGGAAAGAAAGAAAGAAAGAAAGAAAGAAAGAAAGAAAGAAAGAAAGAAAGAAAGAAAGAAAGAAAGTCCTTGTTGCAGGCTAGTGGGGCTCAGTGGTTGACTGCTGACCCTTGAACCAGGAGGTCAGGGCACATGTCCAGTTTGTGGGCTGAATCCCCAGACGAGATGGGCAGGAGGCTGCCAATGGATAATTCTCTCTATATATATCTCTATCTCTCTCTCCCTCTCCTTTCCTTTCTCTTTAAAATTAATAGAACATATAATTTTTAAAAGGCTTGAAACTAAAGTAAAAACATGTATTTCAAATATTTTGTAAATAAAGTTACTTGATCTATACCTTATTTCTTGCTTCCATATTTGCCATACAGGAAAGTAGCTTTTCCACTATCGCTGTATTGTGGCCAAGGACAGCATAGTGAAGAGGAGTGTTGCCATGGATGTCCATTACATTTGGATTGGCACCATGGTCTAGAAGAATGGTTGCACATTCCTCTTGGTCATATTGTATAGCCTGTCAGTATTATGCCAAGAAGTAGATTATAAGTTCTAGGAATTCAAAGTAAACATTCCACAAGTTTCACCAATGTCTTCTAGTTAAATGAGATAAACTCATTTTTATTCTAAGTAATTAAATTAAACCCCCCTCATGTTGACATAGTTGCTAATACATACATGAATGAGAGCTGTTTTGTTGTCAATGTCACAGAGGTTCAATAGGCAATGTCTGCGTGTTAGCAGTCTCACCACTCTCGGATGGCCCTTGCAACAGGCCACATGCAAAGCAGTCCTGTGAAAGTGAGAGGACTGCTTAGAGAATTAGAGGGCACCAGATGAAAGCATATAATATCCACATAATTGTAAACATTTCTCTCTATGCCTTCAAAGCAAATATTTAATTTTCTTCTGGAGACAGTACAATATTTATTAGTTTTTGTTACTCACCACATTAGTGAAGGAAAAGCCTATTTGAATACGGAGAGGATGACCTGGGAATTCAGCTCAACTTGGTTCTGATCCTGTTTTAATTGTCACTTATTAGCTGTCACTTGGCCTTTCTGGGCCTCAATTTCCTCATCAACAAAATGGGGATAAAAATAATAGGAATCTCACAGGACACCACTGTTTCTTTTAATGAGAATCTATGCAAAGTGTTTACTACAGTAACTTGCACATAAAAAACAGCTTAATAATTGTGATATTAGTATCATTATTACTATTACCGCCACTTTACAAAGACAACATGTCAGTTAGCAAACTGATATCATTATACCTACTTTGCATATGTGTTTTAAGGATTAGAAAGAACACAGAATTTCAATTATTCTAAAATGCTTATATTCTCTCACTTTAACATCTCTGACATTGGAATCCAATTTTTAATTCAGAATGTCTTACAGAAGGCCAAGAGACATATGTAAAGATGCTCTAAGTCACTAATCACCCAAGAGATGCAAATTAAAATGACAACCAGGTACCATCTCACACCTGTTAGAATGGCTATCATCAACAAATCAATAAACAACAAGTGCTGGTGAGGATGTGGAGAAAAAGGAATCCTTGTACACTGCTGTGGTGGGAGTGCAGACTGGTGCAGCCACTTTGGAAAACAGTATGGAGTTTCCTCAAAAAATTAAAAATGGAACTTCCATTTGACCCAATAATCCCACATCTAGGAAAATATCACCAGAAATAAGAAACACCAATCAGAAAGAATATACGCACCCCTATGTTCATAGCAGCACAATTTATAATAGCTAAAATTTGGAAACAGCCTAAGTGCCCAGCAGCAGATGAGTGGATTAAAAACCAGTGGTATACCTGCACAATGGAATATTATCTATCTATACTAATAAAAGGGTAATATGTTAACTAGACCAGATAGACCAGACATCTTTTGATGTCCTTCCGGATGTCTTCCAGACAAAGCCATGGTGGTGGGGGCTGAGGCAGAGGTGGTTAGGGGTGATCAGGCCAGCAGGGGAGAGTAGTTAGGGATGATCAGGCTGTCAGAGGAGAGAAGTAAGGGGCAATCAGGCAGGCAGGCAGGTGAGGGGCTAGTTGCCAGGGGTCCCGGATTGTGAGAAGGATGTCCGACTGATGGTTTAGGCTTGCAGGTGAGGGGCTAGTAGCCTGGGGTCCCGGATTGTGAGAAGGATGTCCGACTGATGGTTTAGGCTTGATCCGTGCCAGTTTAGGCCCGATCCCACAAGCCTAAACCGGCAGTCAGACATCCCCTGAGGGGTCTCAGATTGGAGAGGGTGCAGGCGGGGCTGAGGGAACCCCCCATGCACGAATTTCATGCCTCTAGTCCTATATATAATAAAGAGATAATACGCAAATTGACCCTCACTCCATCAGGCCATCACAAGATGGCTATGCCCACAGCAGAGGCAGGGTTCCTGTAACAAGCCGTAATGAGCGATCAGCAGGGACCTGGGGCTACATGGTGCTGAGTCGGGGTGGGGACCTGAGACTGCGCCACCCGCCTGGCGGGGGTAGATGGGTGACGTCAGGCCATGCCCCCTGCCCTGGTGCCAGGCCGGGGGACCTGAGGCTGCGCGCCCCCCCTCCACCCGGCGAGGATTGATGGTGGTGGGGCTGGCTGTGGCTGGATCTTGCACAATGGGTCTGGGTTCTGCCAGGTCTGGGCCTCATGCGATTTCAAGGTGCAGCGGGTGGCTGGGAACTTGACTCTGGGTCCCGTGGTATTCTCCAGACTCTGAGAGGAGGAAGATTTTCATATACATTTTACTAATTTTCTTTCAGCTCTGATACTTCTTTTATAGAGAAAGGGCAAATAGCAATATTAAAATATTTCCTCTAATTAATTCCCTTTTAATGTGCACGAGTTTCATGCCCTGGGCCACTATTCTGTATTATAAAAAGGCCAGTGGACATAATGCCTTCACGCTGTAATGACCAAATGACCAGTCACCAGGAGGTGCATGGAGCACCTCTCAGTCCCTCCCCCACAGCCCACAAGCTCCGATCACAGCAAGGCTGGCGGCCAGCCGGTGGCTGGGAGATGGGCGGGTGGTTGTGGAAAGTGGGTGCAGTGAGGCGGGCACAGTGAGGCTCACGCGTGTGGGGGGGGTGTGCCGATTAGCGGAGCGCACGTGAGTGGGCAGGGACACTCAATTTTGTGCGCTGGCCTCTAGTATAAACATAAAAGCCTAAGCGACTGCTCGATCAGTAAATATGATGTGAACTGACCACCAGGGGGCAGAGACTGAACACAGGAGCTGCCCCTGGTTGTCAGTGTGCTCCCACAGCGGGAGTGTGGCTCAGCTGATGGACAGGCGCCAGCTACAGGGCTTACGGCTGGCCGCCACAGCCCGGAGACTGCAGCAGAGCAGCAGAGCAGCAGGAGCAGCGGTGGGGGCAAGTGCAGTGGGCTGGGCTGAGCCAAAGTGGCAGGCAGGAGCGGCAGGTGGCGTTGGACGGCCTGTTTCGGCCGATCCCCACAGGCCATGGTTCTCCTATATTTTCTATTTTATTACTTTTTTAAAGAAAAAGACCCAGTTAGAGAAAGAAAAACATCACATGATCTCACTTATATGTGTAATCTAATGAAGAAAACATACTGATGAACAAAATAGGGTAACAATCAGCCCGATCAAGCTGGGGAGGTTCAGCTGAGAGGCAGTCTGCAGCCAGGAAAGACAGAGAACTAAAAAATGCGGATGGTTAGAGATTGAGGCTGAAACCTCCCCCTGGGCGCCAGCGCAGCGGCGAGACCGCACCATCTTGGGTTGCGGTTACTGGTTACCGGCATCCAGAGAACGGCTACTAACCCAGCGCCTACCAACCCGGAGGCAAGGACTCGCAAGCAGCGCGACTACAAGAGCCCAGCGGAGACCTGCATCCCTCCACGGAAAGGTTAAACTTACCCCAAAGGTGCGGTTTGCAGTTCAGGTTGGAGCGAGGAACGCGCGCGCGCGCGGGCGCAGGGGGAAATCTGCGCACTCCAAAATCCGCGCACATAGAGGCCAGGGTAATCCGCAAGTGGGGAGGGCTCCCGCAGGGCTGCTGCCAGAAGGTAACACTATAAATGAGCCCATAATTGGACTGGATGCAAAAAGGGCTACCTCAGAGTTTCTCTGATAGCCGGCTACTTGTTGCCAGGGGCTTGAGCGCGCGCAGACCCAACGCACAGACATTTTGCGCAGTTCTGGAGGGTGGAACCCTGCGAGTTCGAACAGCTTCCCAGGCTCTTGTTTGCACACTTCCTCTTACTTCTGTGAGTTTGATTGTTGGCCCAGTGGATGTGATTGCCCAGTTGGGGTCACTAGCAGAGCTTGTAGGGGAAGACTGTTTTTGGGGAGCCGGGGAAACAGAGCTGGGAGTGGCGCCGGGGAACCAGCTCTGGGCGGAGCTGGTTCAGGTACAATACAGAGCTCCTGGTCGGAGAGAACTTATACCCTCGGAGGTCAATCCAGAAACACTGCCACCCAGAGGCAGAGCCACGAACTGACTCTTCTGTAAATACAGATAAGGCAATAAGGGGATTTTACGGCCGGCCTTATAATCAGGACTGTGGCTTACAACACGGAGGAGCAGTGTACCAGAGGGAAACTCAACATTCACCTGAATTCCGGGCGTGCCAATAAGAAGAGTAGAAGATCTCAAGCACCTGCATTACTGCACATTTTTATTTTTATTTTTTTAAATTACTTTTTCTCCTTTTAACTAAGAAAACATTTTTTTTCTGTTTTTCTTTTTTCTTTTTCTCCATCACCTGATTTTGCCTTTTCAGCTACTACATTTTTATTTTTAACTAGTATTTTTACCGCTACCATTTTACCATTCTTTTAAGTGTCATTTTATTTTGTCTTTATTTTATTTTGGGACTAATGTTCTCCATTCTATTTTCATCGTTCCTTTAGCAACATTGTTCTCTACCTCAATTTGCCTCTGTGCTAAACAATCTTCCCCACTTTTTCCCTTTTGCTGTCCTGTTTCTCTTACCCTACTCCAGCTTTTGATTTTCCCTATTCTTTTTACCCCCTGTCAAAATTTAACCCTGCTTATATATCGTACGTCCAATCCCCTGTTCTAAATCCTTATACACCTTTCCCTTATCTTCCTTCACTATCCAATTTATTTTTTCTCTTCTTCTTCTTCTTTTCTCTCTCTATTGTCTTATTGTTGTTTGCTTGATTGACGAGTATATTGGGGTTTTTTTGTTTTTGTTTTTGTTTGTTTTGTTTTTTTAGGATTGTTTGTGAGGTTAGACTGCTTATTCTTTTTATTTTCCTGCCCCTCCCTCTCCCCCCCCTCCCCTGGTTATTTCTGTGTTTCTGTTTCCCCTTGCGGTTGTTTGTAGTTTGTATTCATCTCCAGGAATCTGTTGCTGTAATTTGTTGGTATTAGTGGTGGACCTATAGGAGTTTTCTCCTCATAGGAGTTTTCTCCTCATATAAATAGTCTCTTCCCCTTTTATACTTCATTCTCTTTTCTCTCTTACTTTTTTTTCTCCTTTTTTTCCCCTCCCTTTTCCAATCTCATCTTTGCACTCCTTTTTTTCTTTCTTTCTTTTTTCTCTTCTACCTTTTTCTCTTCTTTCCCCCTTATCTCCCAACTCTCTTAGCTCGGGTGGCCACCTTTATTTGGGGTTAGTAATATTGTAAATACAATAGTGTTCAGTGCCTGGTACGTTGTGCCTTGTTGTGTTGTATTTTGTGCCTCTAAATCAACGCAACAGATTCAAGCAACAGCGGCCTCCTGATCACCACACGCTCTGCCTGGGGAACAGTTGCTGCGTCTGAAGCCTCCCTCCACCAGCCA